TGAGATGCTACAAAATAATACATCGTATCAGGTTAGGTACTCCAATCTAAGAAAGTCTGCGTCAGGCAAGTCAGATGTGGTGTTTGCATATCCCCTTGTTTCACTTTATTAAACTGCTCAGAGCATGTGGCACCGTGATGTTTCCTTCATGCAGAAAAACAACAACACAGAACTAACTATATTTTCTGGAAATAAAACCCAGGAGTGCATGATCTGAGTAAAGTGTCTCCAAATGAAAAGGTGAACAGGCGGGTGATTTGGGCTCACAGCCCTTTTCTTTTCCGTCTGCAAGTCAGTGTGATGGTGGTGAACAAAACAGCCCGAGGAACTCTGTACTGAGCTGGGCCCAGAGCGCGAGCGGCCAGGGTGGGGGCTGGTTGGTAGGTCCTTTTCAGGACACTGGAGGGTTGGACCTGCCGTGGTGCTAATTGAGAAAGAGAGGCAACAGTTCAGAAGTTTTTTGTTTGTTTTTTTTTAGCAGAAAAGTATCTGGGTGCTCGGAGACCTTTAGTATGGAAAAAAAAAAAATCTGACTTCGGTTGTGAACACGCAAAATCAGGCTGTTTGTCATTAGATGGTGCCTGGCATACGAAGATGACACATGGTGACAAAATGATTGGTTGTGAAACCCAAGCACAACCTGGGGAAGTGTGTCCTTGTTGTGTTGAGATAAACAAGCTAATGTGGTAGAGAAGGGTAGTGGGGAACTTCACCTCAAGCCCCTTACCAATGACCAATGGCCAGGGTGCGTGCCAGTCTCTGCCCATGGAGGAGTGTCCTCCCAGATGTGTCTAGACCTGGGGTCTTCTGACCTGAGGCCCAAAGCTGATGCCACAGCCTCCCGGGCGAGGTCCCACTGCAGGCTGTGTAGCACTTGGCGTGACGGGGCTGATGCTCCCAAAGCTACCTGGGGGGACTGTGGGGCGGGCGAGGTTTCAGGAGGCCATGTGCTCCTCCCTGAGGGGCATTCTGGTTGGTAGACTCGACACACTCTGAGGGACAGTAGAGGAGTGATGTCTTAGTGAGGCGGAGAGCTGTTCTCTCCTGCTCTGAGGCCCTTGGTGAAGGAGTGTCCTGCCCTATGCCTCAGCTACATCGACTCCCAAAGCCGCCGTAAGCAAGGAGGCCCAGGTCTGTCCTGCTGGAATAGCAAGGGGTCAGTTATATAGGCCTTTCGTAAAGCAAAGGCTATGTAAGGACAAGCTACCTCGCCCGAGAACCTCAGCACAGAATACAAATAACTGCCAGTTCCTCCTCCTGTCTCAACACCACGTGCATGGACGGACGGACGGACAGCTGCTGTGACACTTCTGTGCTTGTCAGGGGTTCCCAGGGCGCAACTGCAGGGCCAGTTTTGTGTCCCCCACTTTTTCTTCCTTAGCATTTTGTGCGTGTAGAGGTCTGTGGAAAACTGGATCCCAAAGGTTATCTAAGCGTAACTTTTTAGAGCTGTCTTGGTTGTGGAAAGGGGGCTATTTCCTGAGAAATATTATAATTTGTGTGAATATTTAGCTCAACTTTTTAAAGGTAAATTTTTAAGCAAATATACTTTTTCCCCTTTAGAGTGTTTGGCTAGAGTGGAATTTAAACAAACAGGCACATTTCCGAGGGTCCCTCACAGCACGGCGCAGGCCCCTGGCACGCACCGCGGGCCTTCGGTAAATTCATATGGACGCTCATCAGCGCTGGGGAACCCTTGCTGTGGGTACATGCAAATGGAGAACCTATTTGGGGAAGTGGTTCTTATGAAGTCTTTAGCTCCACTAATGCCAGTGTATATGCAGAGTAAAAGATGGCCTTTGTATGTCCAATGTAAAAAATTCTTTATGTATCCAGTAACTTTTAAAACTAGAGGAAAACACCTAGAAAAGTACTTTTCCACCTTTCAACTGGGAGATAACAAAGCTAATGAGAACTTCATGGGTTAGGATCTTCTCTTGGTTTGTGGGTACTCCTGGTAGCTAAGTTGAGTTTTCTTTTAAATACTAAAAATTCTTTCACAGACTCCAAGATGGATGCTTAAGCCTGGCTGATGTGGCTCAGTGGTCACTGGTTTGATTCCCGCTCAGGGCACATGCCAGGGTTGTGGGCTTGATCCCCAGTAGGGGGTGTGCAGGAGGCAGCCGATCAATGTGATGCTTCTGTCTCATAGATGTTTCTCTCTCTCTATCCCTCTCCTGCCTCTAAAATCAGTAAAACATATTAAAGGAAAAGAACCCAATGCATGCTTAGAGCTGGAGCAGTGTGGCCGTTGGGAGTCAGGGACTCCAGGTGCGTATGATGGGGCAGTGTCGTGGTCAGAAGGTATGGCGATGCCTTTCAATGGTTGGATTCAGGACCAACGTCCCTCTCCCAGGGGGCTTCCCTGGCCACCCCTGCACTAACGCAGCCTCCCCCACGTCCCATTACCTTTCCTACCGCACTACCCGCCCTGAATGCTTTGTTCTGTCCTCACTCACATGCTTACTGAAGGGTGAACCTTTACACTCACTGCTAAGGCAGCAGTCTTAACGCCCACCTCTCAGAATGTTGGGGTTGGGACACACCTTTCTGAGCCTGAGGGGAGCGAACTAGGTAGGTATTCACAAGGCCCTTGAGGTGAATTATTGATAAAGCTAAGCAGGGTTTACTCCGAGTGTGGCTCGGGTAGAAAGAGCCGAGGCAGTCCCTTCCTTTGGGGGCCTTGCCCCGTGCACACCCGGCCCCACTGTGTCCTTCTGTCCCAGGCGCCTGTTACACCTGTGCCTGAAGCAACTTGGCTGCCTCCAGGACCCAAGGGCCGAGGCTGGTGGTTTAGCAAACAGCCAGCTATGCAGGTCTGCAGGGCTGTGAACACCGCCACCTGAATGAGCGGACCGGGCTAATGCTGGTGGAGGGCGGGCCTGGCATTATTTCCAGGTACAGCAGAGTATGGTTTCCGCTGTTCATTTTGCTGAGGGGAGTCACCCTTTCATCCTGTTAAAATGGTAAAAGCACTGTTTTCACCCCCCCCGCCCCCTTCCATACAGAATTAAGTTGAAGGAAACAAAACACATGTTCATCATTTGTCAAGTTTTCCAGGGCAGTGGGCTTTGTGGAGGTGAGAAGTCACTGTCAGCTCGCTGAGTCCTCCATGATCCTAAGGCACAGTTTATGTCAATCTTCCTGAAGGTGATTAGATGCACAGTGGGGGGAGAGGGAGGAGGGCCTGGGCAGGGGCCACAACCTAAGGTCCAAGGCCGGCCAGGAGCCCCACACAAGTGATACTGGAGCAAGAATGGGCGGACTGAAGATACTACGCACTTGAAAGGGTAACAGTAAACTGACCCCCGAGGGGGAAAGGCCTCTTAAACTGCCCCAGAATCAAAGGGGGCGCCACCTCTAGGAGATGTCCGTGTGGGCACACACCTGTGCACATAACCCCAAGTGCTGCTCCTAGAATGGCGTCTGGACATTGCAATCGCTATTTCCTAACGGTTTTTCACTCTGATTTCTATACGAAATTGTGCCTGAGCGCGGGACTTCAGACCCAGACAATCTGTTGAGGGATTTATGGAGTAAAACAGGATTTACTCCCAGCTTCTGCCAGGGAAGGCTTTGCACCAGCCTGTACTGATGCCCTCGGTACGACTCCACTCGATGTCCTCAGCAATGACCCCAAACACTAGAGGACCGGGGGCGATTTCTGGCCAAACACTACACCTATGGCTGGACGGCCAAGGATGGGGCACCAACCATAGTGAGTCTTTGGTTACCTTTTCTTTTAAACCCATATTTTGTCCATTTAAAGCTGTAGCAGCAGGAGAGAGAGGAAGCATTTCCCAAAAATCTCTAGCAAGGGTTTGCTACTTGGTAGAGGTCAGGTTATGATGGATGGGCTATCATGAATGTTGATGTACAGGGTGAGGACTGAGAGCTGGCTGTGGCCCTTGGTCTGCCCCGGTCCCGGCTGGGCCCTTCCAGGACAGAGAGGAGAAAGGCAGGGGCTGGTGGAGGAGGCGGCAGCCTCTTCAGGGCCAGTGGGGAGGGAGCCTGGTGTTACCTGCCTGCAGCTGATGACCTCCTGGTCAGTGTTTCCTGAAGGCCTGTGAGGACCTGGCTGGGCCTTTGCCGCTTTGGGCACCTCCCATCTGCCCAGCCTAAGAGATGTGCCTGGAACTCAGGCTGAGACCAAATTCTCTAAAAACTGCCTTTATCTCTGCACTCTGAGTCCGCACTATAGCTTATTTCTGACAGAATGAGTTTTGTCTGAAAGAAACTTAAGTTCAAGTTGTATGTTTCTGTGCATTCGTTTCTACGGCCTAACCCAGCCCCAGGCAGCCAGGCCTTCCCCGCTCACTGCAGCACAGGGCAGAGCTGTGAACGGCAGCACGAGGCCACGGCACGCACCCCGCGGGGCTGAGGAAAGGACTGACCTGGGCTGAGCCCACAGGTGCTCGATGCATAATCTGGGGGCGAATCCAATGGCCAAGACAAACCATAGAGCTCATTTTCTATTATTATTGTTCTTTTCCAGGCCTTGCTGTGAGACTTGGTTGGGGTTTGGCCACGGGGGCAGGTGTCTCCATGCTCCTGTTCGGAGGAGCAGGGACAGGACACGCCAGCACTGCGTTCCTGTCGGCATCTTTGGCTATGAAACAACACACCAGCTACTGCACAACCATAACCCCAACCATTCGGAGAGTTCACCACTTTTCGAAATGCGACATCAGGTGAGTCTGAAACGCAGTTTACCCAGGAATAACTCAGTAAGGCCATTTTGATTAATGAAAATGTATAAAAGGTGACATGGACAGGAAAACAGTGCTATCATACTCAGGAAATGACACTTGGTTCATTTTCATCAACTGCACACTGGGTGAAATCACACAATTACTACAGGGAACTGTAAGCAAGCAATCTGGTCAGAGGGATGTGTTCCTTTGTCTTAAATGAAAGCGCTGTATGAGATGCATCGCTCTGATTAAAATGATACTTTCCTTCTCTGAGAAACCCCAGATTTAGAACGCTGGCAAAGGCAGTGCTGGCAAAGTATTTAATGCACGTGGAAAGGCTATTCTACTTTGGCTTCCAGAAGTAGCCCTAAGAAATTCTATGCACCAAATGCATTGGCTAATAGTGATCATTTCCATTTTACTATAAATTATTCTAAATGTCACTTAAGTACTTAAGAGTTAGCGCGCTCCTTTCTAGAAGCTGTCTAAGGCAGCTGATGCGTAAAGCACCTCAACTAGGCTTTCAGCTAGCTCCGCAGTGCAGCTGGTGCCCAGGCCCACCTCCCACACTGCACACCCACCGGAGCTTGTCACGCCCATTCGTGCCTCCCACGGAGAGAAGCAGTCTGGTTCTAAGGAGGGTCACGTGGGTGGGGGAACAGAGGTCCCACGTGTGGAAGGTAAATGAGCTTTGTTCATGCAGCCCAGCTCTCCCAGGCCTGTCCCACTGTCCCCTCAGAAAGCTCGCTCTGAGAGGTGACCTACTACCCTACTGTCAGTTCTCATTCACAGACGGTAACGTTCATCTCAAGCGTGTCAGCCTGCGTGTAATTCGCAGATTGTGTTTCCCTAGTTTCCACTGGACACACAGTGCAAACAGAAGCAAGGACTGAAGCAATCATTTCAAAAACAAGAGCTCACACTAAAACACACATGAGCATCAATAGGAAAACGTGGGTTTTGTCCTGTCTTTATTCTGGGGAGGAGGAGTCCTCCTCCTCTTCCTCCACATCGTCGTCGTTGAGCGAGCAGGGCGTCTCGCCGCAGGACTCGGAGCAGTGAGAGGCCGCACTGCTGGACTGGTGACTGTTTGGGGCAAGGATCTGCCCCGTTGCTAAGGCCACTTCAGCATCCAAGCAGAACCCCTGGGTTACGCTAGCAAACAATTCAAACACAGGCTCATTAATGTGATGAACGTTTTCCGCTTCGTAACACAGGAATGGGGCGGGGAAGGAGCCATGGAGGGCTCGGCCAGGGCCTGGGCAGGGGCATGCGCTCCGCAGCTGGCCTTTTGAACCCGGACACATACGTACCTTGATTGGGATAAGGTGGCACCAGTGGTCAGGTCTAAACTTGAAACTGACTGGGTAGAGTTCAAAAGCAGCCCCTGGTTTAACCATGAAGGTCCTGTGGAGATATCTACGGGGAAAGACAGACAGAAGGGGTGGGTCCCGCAGTCCTGTGGCTGCTATTGTTCCCGTGGGAAGAGAGCGGACGAGTGAGGGCATCAGCCTGTTCTAATCACAGCCACACAAGTCTCCTGCCCTGGGGAGAAGCCAGATTTCTTCAGCAGAAAACAGACATTTCTAAATCATAAGGGGGATGGGGGAGAGACAGGAAGGCTGACTACAGCAAGAAAGAATTCAAATTCAACCAACTGTGGGCTCTCGTTCTCTTTTCTCAAGACCTCAAGAGGCAGCACTCAACTGGACTACCGTGGACGCCTGCTGTCCTCGCCATGGAAGACTCGGGACCCTGACGGTGGTAACAGCCAAAGCCAGCAGTGGGTAGAGAGAGTCACATCGGAAATGTCTCAGGTACGAAGGACAGACACATTTTTGCCCAAACCCCCACTGAATCCATCTTTTCAAGTGCCCCCCTGGGGAACGCAGTGCTACTAGTCACCCAAGACCTATTCTTTTTCCTGGTACTTTTTGCTTAAAACTCAAACTCGCTCTTATTTTGAAAGGCCACGAGCAGCCATGCTTTTAGTGAGGGGGACACAAGCAACGCCTTTTCAGTCTGCATAAATATTCTGGGTCTGTCCTTTCAATGTTGTTTTCTACACATACATCGTACTTCTCCTATCATAACCTTGACCAATTCTCACTGTAGTTTCACTTGTTTAATGCTTACCTCCTTATCTAGGATGTCAGCTCAGAGAAGACAGTGACAGGAACATGTAAGATCTAAATGTTACTGAATGAATGATAGTCTCTTCCAATAGTGAGTTTACAAAGAAGGCGATGTGCAGATTAGAAATACAATTCTAAGAGAAATTCTTAGAATTACATTATAAGATCGAATGTACACTCAGAAAAATGTAATTTACCAAAATGAAAGCTTATTTAATCAAAATAATTTTATAATTACTGCGCAGAAAGCTGTGTGTTTAGATTGGAAACTGCTATCCAGCACTGTCAGGCCAAGTGAGAGGCATCCTAGGAGGAAGAAGTAAGCGAATCTCTACGCTGATTTTAGAATGGCCTTGGGAACCGGTTTCTCACAGGCTAACAAGGCAGCTGTGAAAAAAAAACTTCAGTTCTAAGAACAGCAGACTTTAAATTCATTAAATAACAAGTCTGTACACGATAACATTAAAGCCAGAATCCTGATCTGGATAGTAATTAGCATACGTGGAAACTTTGTCAGAGCTCAGCTAGTTGCATAACACAGGACACTTTCTCTTCACAACAGCTCTGAAAGCCTGTTTTGTTCACATTATCCTAGAAACCACACAGTGGTTCTCACCATCGTACTCCAGAGTCCTCTGTCCTTTGCACTAAAGGCACACGTTTGTCCTTCAAAAGAACTAACCAGAAAGTCTGTGCCCCAGGCTGCCAATGAGGTCACCAAGAGATAAAAGCCAGAGAGCCTGCCTAATCACCAAGCTTTTACAATGAGAATGGACTGAAGTAAAGTTGTGGTGAGTTACTGAAAGCCCTTCCCTTGGACGCTGCTGGGCTGCCAATAGAATAGCCAGTCCTGCCCTGGGAGAGAGCAGGGGGAGATACTGGCTGAGGGGCAATAAGATGGGGTCTCATGAGTGGGTGATGCCAATTTAAGAACTAAATCCAACAGACACTTGTGACTGAAGAGCCAAAACCACAAAACAAAACAAATAAAAACTACTTTGCAGTTCTAGGAGGTGATACTTACAATGAAGGGCACTGCCCAAAGCAAAGGCAGAGCTGTTTGCTGCATCCAAACTCTAGGTGCGGAACATGCCACAATCTTAGTAAGTTAGGGCAATCATAAAGATGTCAGAATCAGTGAAACAAAATCTGAATTATATAACACGCAAAACAGTGGTTTTTAGTATATTCAAGCATACTTTTATAGTTCATAATAAAATGATAAAGAACCCAATTTAAAAAACGAGCAAAGGATCTGAATAGACATTCTCCAAGGAAGATTTACGAATGGCCAATAAGCACATGAAAAGATGCTCACATCATTAGTCTCTAGGGAAATGCAGATCAAATTGACAGTGAGATACCACATCATTAGGATGGCTGTAATAAAAAGGTGGCCAACAAGTGTCTAGAAGGGTGTGGACAAACTGAAACTCGCATACACTGCCGGTAGAACTGTAAAATGGTACAACTGCTTTGGAAAATAGTCTGGCAGTTCCTCAAAATGTTAAAGTAGGAAAGGGTTCAGAATCAAGGACGAGCATACAGTGAACTTGAACTAATTTTCTATGAGAAAAGGAGAAAGGTTTTAACATGTTAGGGTTTGCTATATTTAATCAGGGACAACATGTGAAAGGATCCGTTAACATACCTGTGATATAACCTTCTAACGCCTTTGGCACCAGGGATTTAGCACGTTTCAGATCCTCCAGCGAACATTTGCCTGACTCCAGGCCAAAGGACATTCCCATCCGCTTCAGTACTTCGATGTCATCATGGATCTCAAAGGTGTTGTCAAAATTGAAAAGATATTCAAACCTGCACCAGGAAACAAAGTTGGTACAGGCTTCCGTGGTGTTGGAGAGGTCTGAGGAGTTTTATAGTCTGTTTACTACATAAAAGAATGAGGGCCTAAGTTCAGCTACCGCACTAGAAATTATCAATGTTTATAGCAATAAGGGTCCTTCTGCTGTATTCAGGAGATGACATCTCAAATACACCACTTTCCCAAGTAACACGTTAAGCACCCAGCCTGTTTGGTCTCCGCACGGAAAGTATAGTGTCAGTCACCGGTGACTGACAAGGCGCTTAACATGTCTAACTTTCATGTGACAGACAAGAGGTCCATAAACTTTAGCCCTCATTAAGCTATTGCAAATTGGATACAGAAATACTGGTCTAAATCCAATACTTTCCTTTCTGTTAATCCTCAAGAGTATATTTTTTCCATTGCCTTTCAAGAGAGACAGAAAAACAAGGTAAGAGGAAGACACATGGATTGGTTGCCTCTTGAATGAGCCCTAACTGGGCGGGGCGGGGGGGTGGGGGGAAAACGGACCACAAGAACCCACAACCCAGGTATGTGCCCTGGACTGGGAATTGAACCTGAGACCCTTCAGTGTGTGGGCTGGCGCTCTAACCATTTGGCAACACCGGCCAGGGCTAGTTTGGTCAATTTAATGCTCATGGTGGGAGAGCTGCCTGGCTAAGTAAGGGGAAAAGACTGCATCACCAAAGTAAGTGAAAGAAAGGCTGCAGGACCTGCCTTGAACAAACTGCTGCAAGCTTCTTAGAGTTTCCTTCCTCCAGGGAAGAGCATTGAGTCAGTTACCACCCAAGAATGGAACCCTTACTAGACCCCAGCCAGGGATGAACAGAAGCCATAAAGCCCTGAGGCCAATGACTCCCTGCAATTCCTTTATGAAAGCATTCAGCATGTTTAAATTGCCTGCTTTGAGTCCAAGCCTTAGGCATTCTCTCATTTAATCCTCACCACAGGGCTAGGAAGTGGCGTTTTCCGGAAAACAGCTCTGGAGCAGTTAAACGGGGGAGCCGTCATCCACACCTGGGTCTGTCTCACTCCACCCCATGCCCTCAACTGTCTCATGATACTGATCACAGACTGAAGACCAACGAGTTAACTATTTTTATGAAGGTAAAATAAATCTCACATTAATTCTGTATTATTGATGGGTGGATAAAGAAAATGTATAGATACGATAAAATATTCAGCCACAAAAAAGAGAAGGAAACGCTGCCATCTGTGACAACATGGATGGACTTTGAGGGCACTATGCTCAGTGAAATAATTCAGAGGAAGACAAATACTGAGTGATCTCACTTAATGTGGAACCTAAAAAACCGAATTCATAGATACAGAGAATTGATTGGGGGAGGGGGGGCAAAATATATGAAGGTGGTCAAAAATATTAACTTTCAATTATAAGATTAAAAAACAAAGGAGAGCCCTAACTGGTTTGGCTCAGTGGATAGAGCGTCGGCCTGTGGACTGAAGGGTCCCAGGTTCGATTCCGGTCAAGGGCATGTGCCTTGGTTGCAAGTGCATCCCCAGTAGCGGGTGTGCAGGAGGCAGCTGATTGATGTTTCTCTCTCATCGAGGTTTCTAACTCTATTGCTCTCCCGCTCTGTAAAAAAATCAATAAAATATATTTAAAAAAAAAAAAAGCAGAGATTGCACCTAGCATTTTCATGTCTATTCATCCATTAATAAACAGAAGCCCACTCAACTAAGAGATAGTAAAACAAAGAGGCAATTGCTTTTTTTTTTTTTTTAAATATATTTTATTGATTTTTTACAGAGAGGAAGGGAGAGAGATAGAGAGTTAGAAACATCGATGAGAGAGAGACATCGATCAGCTGCCTCCTGCACATCTCCCACTGGGGATGTGCCCACAACCAGGCACATGCCCTTGACCGGAATCGAACCTGGGACCCTTCAGTCCGCAGGCTGACGCTCCATCCACTGAGCCAAACCGGCCTCGGCGAGGCAATTGCTTTTATGCCTCATGTTGATCTAAAGTATTTCCACAATAAACTATGACAGTGAATCACCAGTGAGCCTACCTGTGTCAGACCCTCACTGATGGTCTACCTCGCTGCAGTTCTTGCCCACAATTATGCCACATGCACGTACATACGTGTACATCCTGGTCTGTGTCCAGGCACCACCCTGCACGTAACAGGCAGCAGAGGGCCAGGCACGTGACTGGGGGCCGTGGAGGGCAAGTATGGAGCACAGGCCAGAAGCTGACAGCTCTCCATGTATGAAAAGGTGTTTCACACGCCCCAAGGAGTCAGCCTTGGAGGACTCAGAGAATGGAGTACACCCCTCTTATTTTGTCAAATGACAGGATTGCGTGAAGGCTGCCCTGCAACCTGCCCCCATTCTGCACTCACTTGTCACTGGAGATGCTGCAGTCTATGACTGTCTTCCTGCTCGTGTTGATGATTATAAACGGCAGCTGAATGGTGGAGTTCAGAGCTGGCGGGCCCTGGTTCTGCTGTTCATTTTGCCGATTTCTCTGTACCAGGTTTTTGAAAGCGATTTGCTGTAATGATCGATAAAAAAAAAATAGTCATTTAATATGGATAAATGAGTTGGAATTAAATGAATAGAGTTTAAAGAGACCTTCCACCTGTAGTGAATTAGACATTAAGAAAAAAGATTAGAAAAATCCAACTCAATAAATATATTTCAAGGGAAAAAATATACATTTAAATGGTGTCTACCATCATCATAATGTAAATAATGGGGCCCATGGTTTCTGTTACCCATAGAAATGGGACCTTACAAATCTGAGAGCCAGGGGCACCTGCAGCTCCTCAGGGAGAGTGATTCAGGGGAAACGACATTGAGGGAGCTTGCTTTCCACTCACCCGCCACAGGCGCCCATGAGTTCAGGGTTGAATACATCACTTACTGTAGCCCAATGATATGCACAGAAGCAGTGGCATTAGGCATAACTCACCTGTGCCATGTGATGTCAGTGCGCTGACATTAACTGTTAAAAAGAATTAAGCGAACTAGGCTATGGCAAATTATTATTGTTCAGGGACTTAATTTTCTTTCTAAGACAACTTCATCCCTGTTATTTGATGAAGGAAAGAACAAAACGCTAGGAGGAAATAAGGTATGAAAAAGCAAAAAGTGCCTGTTTCTTGCTATACTTTGGGTTTCATTTCAATAGAGAGAACTGCTTTTATAAATGTTGACAGCTAGGGTGCTCCAGGTTGCAATCTTCTATAAATATTTGGTTTGAGAGACCACAGAGGGGGAAACAATTTAGGACTTAAAAAAATACACATAATGAGAGCGACCTTGGCTAGCAACATTCTTTCTGATAAACACATAATTACAAGTCTACTGAGAAACAGATTTTAAATATAACATATACTGAAAATCCAGCTCCAAAGTGTTCTATGACGCTCTGAGGAAACCTGAGGAAGGCTCAGCACGGAGCTTAGGGACCATGAGTTGACAGGGAACTCCTGCAGCTAACTGTGCAGGGACGGGGACCGAGAGAGAAAGTGAGGGGAAGCAGGGCAGGAGCTAAGATGCGAGAGCCTGGCCGGCCAGGTCTACAAGAAGGCAGGATGCTGCAGGGAGCAGCTGCAGGAAAAGGAATCAAGGATCAGCTTTGTTAAAGCTGCAACAGTCTCTTCAAACAAAATCTTATTTGGACATCCACTATGGAAAACATAAAATGCGGCCTCCAGCGGTAGGTTCTATGGGGCTCATTCAGTGTGAAAAGCAGACACAGAACACAGAAAAAAAGAAACGGCCCAGTGTCAGGGCTCCCTGTTCCACCTGCCACCACCCACCCTCGGCCCTGCTTCCGGCTCAGACCAGCACAGACCTTCGGGAGGGCGACCGGTTGTCTCCTGCACTTTCGATTTATTCACGAATGTGAGAGAAAAACATAAGCATCTAGAAAGTTTAACACAAAAACCTGGGCTATTCAGGAGTACTTAACATTCTATCCTTCAGACAAAGTGACTACTTTAGGGGGAAAACCTGGTAACTCCTTGGTATCTTTATTTCTGAAAAGTAAATTTCACCAAAAATTAAATGACTTATAGTTGTTCAAATCAAAGTTGATTTTAGGGTTGGTTGAAAGCTGTTCAAATAAAGAAAATTGCAGATAAAAGCAAAGGCATAAAGGCATGCATTCCCCTCCTGGGAACACGCCTGTGCCATTCCTTCCCCCTCTCCTGCTCCTACAGCAGCGATTCTCAACCTGTGGATCGCGACCCTTTGGCGGTCGAACGACCCTTTCACAGGGGTCGCCTAAGACCATCCTGCATATCAGATTTACATGATGATTCATAACAGTAGCAACATTACAGTTATGAAGTAGCAACGAAAATAATTTTATGGTTGGGTCACAACATGAGGAACTGTATTTAAAGGGCCAGAGGGTTGAGAACCACTGCCCTGCAGGCACAAGTACCTCCTCAACCCCTACAAGAGATTTGCAATCAGTAGAACAACGGGCAGTGGCAGCTCGTCCCGGGCTAACCCCATAAACCTGTGCCCAAGGCCCCATTTTCTCTGACTTCCCAGGGAGCTAGAGCAGCCCAGCTGAGGCTCTCCTGTTGCTTCTTCCATGCCCTTCCTGGTTTCACAGTCCTAACTGTGTTTTTGCCGTGACTAATAAATTCTTGCTTGCTTTGCTGCAATGAAAAACAGCAAAGGCATAAAGATTCCCTGACTCATTTTACAAGTTTTGGGCTGGATTGAATATAGTTCCACTGTATGGCTCAAAGTGAATTTTTGCACCAACTGCAATTACCAAAAATAGAAAAAACAAGTCCATCTACCCTGTGATTTTACCTCCCATAACTTCATACAAAGGCTCTCCATTATATTTTTTAAAATCATCCAAATTCTAGGCAATTATCCAAAAATATATAGAGAGATCCTTATTACAGTATAAATTTTAATTTTCTTTTAAACATAAATGCATTTTAAGGTTAGGTATTTTTACAAAGCTTATTGAGTATTGCATGTTATTCTGTTACTTACAGATAATGAGTATTGCAGGTGGATTTAATTATTTTATTCAATGTGCCCAAAACTTAAACTAGCTTTACTTCTTAGTATTCCACATTTGGACTAAAACACACACAGACACACACACACACAGAGAGAGAAAGAGAAAGAGAGAGAGAGAGAGAGAGAGAATAGTTTCTGTTCAGAGTAAAGATAAGTGTCAAAGTAAATTGTTGTATAAAATGTCACCCACAGGGCAGGTGAGGGCTGTGGGGCCCTGATGATGGTGAGAGACGGAACCAGCTTAGAGACAGACCATGGATGGCAGTGGGCTCACCTGTGGGAGGCTGCCCTACTGTGGTCCCAGACATTCCCTCAAAGGCACCCAGAGTAGGAAACAAGCAAGTAAGCGGAGAAGCAGACACAGGCAGGGCAGGTACGAAAGGCATCCCAGCATCTTTACCTGCAGGAGAAGCTCTTGCAGCTGGGCCCGCTTCTGCTTTATCCGTTCTATCCGCCTCTGCTTCTCTATCTTTGAAACACAGGTCACAAAATAACATGAAGATGTGTAGGGTATAAAGCACTGCTCATTTTCAGGTCCCAATTCTGAGATATCAAGAATTTTCTTCAGAGAGATGCAAACCAACATCAATAAAGGCAAGCCACACCTCTTTGCAGGTAGGGGTTGGGGCAAGCGAGCAGACAGTTCAGCAGAATTGCGCAGCTGCTATCAGTAATGAGACCATCTGCTTAAGGAATGCCTGGTGTGCAGGACTCATTGCTATTTACCCCTTAAGTTCAACAGTGAGAGCTAACACTTAGGACACTTACTCTATGTGCCAGCACCCAGCTCAGCACTCCCCACACATTACCTCAGTTCCTCTTCTCAAGACCCTATGTATGTCCTTATCCATTCGCATGTAAGGAAATGGAGGCACAGAGGGTTAAGTAACTGCCCAAGGGCACACCGCTTAGTACTTGGCAAGAACCCCAGCCATCTGGTTCCAGAGACCCTAATATTAATTGCTTTGCTATATTATGCTCACCCTCCCCACCCACCAAGAATGAGGTAAGATCTCAGTCTGACTTTTATTTTTACTTTTAATTAATTGATTTGCTTAAAAAAAAAAAAACTCACATGGCTGATTGCTGGCTCAAAGAATACACATATAGTACTCTCCAAAAATGTTTTACCAATTTGCACTCTCATTAGTAACACTATTTCCCAATAACCCGGTCAGTACTAACACTCATTCCAGATGGTGCACAAGACCTGCTAATGGTCCATACTTGGCCCTGGTCACATAGAAGTTAACTTTTAATCCTATAGTATCTTGTATCATTTCCTGTTTCTCATGTGTAAATATCACTTTCCTGATAAGAGAAATTATGTCAGATTTCTCTCTCTCCTTTTCCTTTTTTCTCCTTCCTTCCTTTTCTTCTTTTATTTTAGTTTATTATTGACGTAAAATTGGTATACTGTATTTTAACTGACTTAAATAAGCACAGCTGGCCTGAGCCAGTTTGGCTCAGTGGATAGAGCGTTGACCTGTGGACTCAAGGGTCCCAGGTTCTATTCTGGTCCAGGGCACATGCCCGGGTTGTGGCTCGATCCCCAGTAGGGAGCATGCAGGAGGCAGCCAATCAATGATTCTCTCTCATCGTTGATGTTCTATCTCTCGCTCCCTCTCCCTTCCTCTCTGAAATCAATAAAAATGTATTTTAAAAAAAGCACAGCTGCTAATACAGGTAGCTTATATATATTCAATATACAATTCAATTCCTGTCTGTAGTAAGAAGAATGGGATAAATTTCCCAGCTTCAAAGGACTGTTATTTTCCTCATTCTTACAACTTCCTGGAAAACAGATCTTAGGGTTTGATTTTCCTTGCAATGAGTTCCTGTCTCTTTGGGCAAAAAGTCAATGACATCAAATGAGACATTTTTCTTGTCTACTCCAAGAGAATTATTTATTTGCTCACCATCCACTCTAGTCTGCACCAGAAATTTCCTCTCATTATTCCTAACCACTACCACACTTTAATCCTAAATAACTTTAGGCTGACTGTGAAATCAGTGTGGCCTTCAACATTTGAAAAGATGTAGGAGTTCCGCCCTGTACCTGAAGCGTGACAGGTCAGGCCCCCACCTGCCCCTCCTGCACACACAAGTTGTACCAACTCTACCTCTAGAACACATCTCCAAACTCACTGCCACTGCCGTGATGAATGCAGCCACCTCCAATCTCCCCTCCTCACCCTCCTGTCTGTCCAACTTCCAACCCTCTAGTAGAGTGATCCTTCAGAATATACCCCATCAGCTCTCCTCTCTATAACTCTTCAATAGCTTCCCCTAGTTTCTAGGACCAGGTCCCAAGAGCTTAGGACTCTCCTTGCCTGTACTCTGGCCACACCCTGCTGTGGGCACGCCTTCCGATGCCTGCCTCGGCCCACGCAGGTCTCTGCCTGGAAGGCCCTCCCTGCTTTAAACCACTTGGCAAACTCCTACTCCTCCCTCATGACTGAGCTCAGGGATTTTTTCCTTGTAAAGCCCTCCCTTATCTCCCAGAAAATCTGTCCATACTTCTTTCATAGTAGTAATCACATTTTTGGTAACACTTTTTACATTTCTCCTCTTAATTAGAATGAAAGCTCCTTGGAGTCAGAGATTTTTGTCTTGTACAATCTTTGATTAAGCACATAGCTGGCAGATGCTAATAGATTTTTGTTATCAGCTTATTATTACCAGTAATTGCAATGATGCTCAACTTCCACTCTATCAAAAGGAGAAGAGGAGGGCATTTCCACTGCACCATATAAATAAAGTTATAATTTCTGATAAATGTCTGGTTTCTCCCTCCATCCACAAGTATACTGATACCAAATCATGAGAAAAACATGAAATCAACCACATTTATCTCCATAAGCTACCTGTATCTCACTTTATTCCCTTTATGGCCATGACAATAAAAATGTCAGATTTGGAAACTATGTCAAGGCACATGTTCATTTAGAAAAGATTTCCTATAATGATAAAGTTAACAGAATAAAAAATGTTTTTGTACACATCATGTCCAAATTCATGTTACTGCTACACATTTGATTTATTCTGATAAAGATACGAATGAAATACCATTCTGTTGCCACTGATTCCAGAGTTAAAGGTAAAAAGCTTAAACATAAGAAACAAATGGACAGCTTCACCCATATTTTGGCGTCCATAAAGCAAGCATTATATCAAAACTGAGATAGTATTTCTGTTACATGAATCACCGAAATGTTATTTTTAGAGTGCTCAGAATTAAATTAGAATAAAATAAAGATCTTCTCTAAGAAACAGTAAAAATCAAGCCATCTAATTTCTATGCCCCTCGTTTCATCAGGACACCAGTCAGACTACATATCTCTAAAGTTTCTTCCAGTTCTAAAACTCTATGTAGAAGAATCTATTTTTTAAAAAGACATAGTATACATAATTAGAAATATTTTACTAGTATGTAACCACATTTCTAAATTAAAATGCCTCTGATGTAAAACAAAGCAAACCACTTTGTATAACCAGATTTTCCTTTCTTACCTCCAGGTTTTGACACTCCTGAGCAGAATTGGTAGGCAGGCCAATCCACTTGATTTCTTTTTTTTCTTTTGATATTATGTTCATTGCCATTAGCACATTTAAAGCATCATAAACTCTTCGCCTAATGTTCTTCTGGTCATAAGCCTGCTAAAAAATACATTTATTAAGTGATAAAAGTTAAGAGTTAAGATAAGTCACAGATATTAAAATATTTAATGAATACCCTAATATTCTAAGTGTCCGACCAATCAGTCGACTGGTCAACTGCTCGAACAGTCGCTATGGAGCACACTGACCACCAGGGGGCTGATGCTCTGACCAGTAGGTTAGCTTGCTGTTGGGGTCCGGCCGATAGGGACTGGGCGATATGTGCTGGACACACCCTGGAGACCTCCCATGGTCCCTCCCCAGCTGGCTGGCCCCAATTGGCCCCAATCAACGGCCAGGCCAAGGGACCCCACCAGTGCACGAATTCGTGCACGGGCCTCTAGTTTTATAACATCTTCAAGTGCTGAAAAATTCTACACCCACTGAAACTATCCTTCAAAAGTAAAGAAAAATAAAGACACTTTTAAACAATCTAAAACATAGAACAATCTAAAAAAAGTAAAGATTATGTTACCTACAGATCTAAATTTGAAAATGCTAAAAGGCCTTCTTCAGGGAGAAGAAAGATGATGTAACTGAGATAGAGCATGGAAAAGTAGAATGGAATGAAGACCAACTCAAAAGGAAAATCTCAATTAACATTCTCTGTATAAAACAAGAATGGCCCAGCCAGCGTGGCCTGAGCGTTGACCTATGAACCATGAGGGCATATGCCCAGGTTATGGGCTCAATCCCAGTGTGGGGCATGCAGGAGGTAGCCAATCAATGATTCCCTCTCATCATTGATGTTTCTATTTCTCTCTCCATCTCCCTCTCTCTCTGAAATCAATATAAATATTTTTTTTTAAATTAAATAAAACAAGAATGTCTTTTTGAGGCTAGAATATATATAGAACTAATATACACGACAGCAATAGTATATATAGCAGAAAGGGGTAATGAAGTTAATGTGAGCTAAGGCCTTGCATTGTCTGGGAGGATATTTGACTTTGAAAAGTCAAGAATGCATATCTTTTAAAAAAAAATATTTCTTTATTGATTTTAGAGAGGGAGAAGAAGAGAGAGAGAAACATCAATGAGAGAGAATCATTGATTGGCTGCCTCCTGCACGCCCCCAACTGGGGATCAAGCCTGCAACCCAGGCATGTGCCCTTGGCCAGAATCGAACCCGGGACCCCTCAGTCCGCAGGCTGATGCTCTATCCATTGAGCCAAGCCAGCTAGGGCAAGGATGCTTGTTTTAAGCTCTAGGTAAACAATGCATCTCAAAATGTGGTCCATGGACTAGTACTAATCCACATACAGTCCTCGGGTTATGTCGGACTCGACGTAAGTCGTTTTGTGGTACGTGGTAAGTCGCCATCTCCCATTTATTTTTATAAAAAAAAAGTTCCGTCATTTCCACATATGTACATATGTGCTTTATGTTTCTTATTATTTATTTACCACAAGTAAAGGTCAGGAATTAACTTTCTTTTAAATTTTTTTACTGTTTCACTTCATTACTGCTGTGTATGTGCTCCATGTGAGTGGCGTAGGTGCTTATGTAGGTGGGTTCGACTTACGGGGAAAATCGAGTTACCTTGGATTATGGATCTCCAATGTGACCTGAGGACCTACTGTACTCTTACTAGCTTACAATGAAAATAGGGAACTTGCACCCAAATGCCAATCACATAGATCACTAACTAAAGAACAGTATTTAATTCAGCTGACTTTTTTGAGGAGGGTGGGAAGGGGTAGGTAGCAAGACTTTCTCAATGAAGAAAACTGTGTTAACTTGCATTGAGGAAAAAGCCCTTTATCTTATTGTGTATGGATAGATCCTAAGAACAAAATCCAATCAATCAAATGCTCTGATAATAAAGGATGGTGGTGCCGAAACCGGTTTGGCTCAGTGGATGGAGCGTTGGCCTGCGGACTGAAGGGTCCCAGGTTCGATTCCGGTCATGGGCATGTGCCTGGGTTGCGGGCACATCCCCAGTGGGAGATGTGCAGGAGGCAGCTGATCGATGTTTCTCTCTCATCGATGTTTCTAGCTCTCTCTCTCTCTCCCCCTTCCTCTCTGTCAAAAAATCAATAAAATATATTAAAAATAAATAAATAAATAAAGGATGGTGGAGAACACTGAATCCACTTAAAGGCAGAACTAAACTTAAGTAAAGGAGATTTGCCCGGACACCGTGGCTCAATGGCAGAGCATTGACCTATGAACCAGGAGGTCACAGTTCAATTCCCAGTTGGGGCACATGCCCAGATTGTGGGCCCGATCCCCAGTGTGGGGCATGCAGGAGGCAGCCCATCAATGATTCTCTCTCTTCATTGATGTTTCTATCTCTCTCTACCTCTCCTTCTCCTTTCCTCTCTGAAATCAATATTTTTTAAAAATAATAATAAATGGGAGGTTTAAGTTCTAGAACTGAATGTAAATAGAAATTTTGACACTGTAGAAATGATAACATAACAAATATCAGTATGCTCCCTCGGGAATCCCCAAAGTTATATTTTAAAAAAATTTGTTCATCTCTATGTTAAAATAAATAATAAAAGAATTCTTTCCAAAAACAAAAAATCAACAACCAAAAATTCTCAACAGACAATATGAAACCCTCAAGTAAAGGAGGAATTGGGAAACCCTTAGCTTGTCTGAGTCCTCATATCGATGACACAGATAACCCAAAGAGGTACACTGTTGCATCACTCATCACAGTCAATGTCAAGTGCATGATCTACCTACCGAATCAGCTGCCAAATGGTTATTTGAATTGGTGAACTCTGATACCAGCTCATCAGCTACTTCATTATATGATGTTGTGCCTTTCCGCTGAACTTTCTCACACACTTTCATTGAAAAATGTCTCAAGCCTTTTCCATTTTTATCTCCTTTTTTGCTTCGTTTACTAAAAGAGAAAAACAAATATTTATACTCCATCATGCTTACTTAGAGACTTCCTTTACAAAAGTATAACATAATGAAAAGACAGTAATTTGATTTTTGTTTCAAGTGGTAAGTTTTAATTGAATTAGAGATGAGGAAATGTTTTAAATTTAATTTTTACCTTAAAAGCCTAATAAAATATAAAGCTAGAGTGGTTCTCTTATGCACATCATCTATTTCTTCAACAAATATTTATTGACCAGTTATTTACTATTATGTGTCAGGCACTATTCTACATACTGCGAATAAATCCATGAGGAGAACAGATAAAAACTCTGCCCTTGTAGTTCATATATGGTACATACTTACCTAATTATTTCAAGTTTGGTTAATGCCTAGGCCTAAACTTTGATAACTTAATCACTGAATTTTCAGGGGGTCAGTTTAGTTCTACTAAATTGAGTGGTTTAGTTCTGCTAATCTGAGTGCCAACTATATGCCCAGATTATAAAAGACATGTCAATTTAATATTTAATATTCAGACTACACACACACACACACACACACACACCCCAGTTGTGGGGGAGTCTAGGAAGGTAGCAAGACAGCAGCATAGTTTTCAAACTCTCCAAATCCCCAGATAAAAACAGACAGAGCAACTAGACCTCATGACAATATTTACAACAAAATGCAAACCTCATGACAATATTACAACAAAACTAGATGGCAAGGTATCCTCAACAAACCTCAGAACACAATACCAATGGCCAAAGGCCCACACGGTAGTGAGCAGGATGAGAAATACTCAATGGGGCTGCATTTAATGGAAATCAGAACAGTAATCCCAAAATAGCCAATATGAATTTACTAGAAAGCACAGCAGGCCAATTTGAGAGCAGCAGTTGAAACAAGGAGTTTCACCCTCTTCAGTACCAGCTGTGTGCAAGGAACTAAAGAGGTCACAATAATCTATTTTGCATAACTTCCACAACCGATATTGAAGAGGAAATGACTAATATTGAAGAAAGGCAAAGAATATACTGACAATAGAGTATCGGAAAAAAATAAAATAAAAGGGAACAGATTCTAAACATTAAATGGTATAATTGAAGTGTTCATAAAATACAGTCAAACCTCGTTTCTCGAACATCTCCCATCTCCACCAAGTTGCTCGCAGAAAACATATCTAGGTTGTGGAACCAAACTTCGGTTTTTGAACTGACAACCCTTTCAAGCTGATACCTCAGCATGACAAAAAGGACTCTCAGGCAACAAAGGAGAAAATGCTTTTGTTGCTGGGAAAATCACCAGAAGAGCACATTTTAAAACATAAAGAGGCCATCAAGAGTGCTAATGTTGCCCTGACCGGTTTGGCTCAGTGGATAGAGCATCGGCCTGCGGACTCAAGGGTCCCAGGTTCGATTCCGGTCAAGGGCATGTACCTTGGTTGCGGGCACACCCCCAGTAGGGAGTGTGCAGGAGGCAGCTGACCGATGTTTCTCTCTCATTGATGTTTCTAACTCTCTATCCCTCTCCCTTCCTCTCTGTAAGAAATCAATAAAATATATTTTAAAAAAAAAGAGTGCTAATGTTGCTAAAGGGGTGAAAGAAACAATAATCACAGGCAACTCAAGAGGCAGAAAAACTTGATTTGGATAAACGAAAAGCAGTCCATTAGTGACTGCCATTTTGGAGGCAGTGATATATAAACAAGCAAAGATGCTGCATACTGAGCTGAAAGAGACCCAGGGAGTGAGTGCTGAAAGTGAGCCCTTTAAGGTTGGTAGGGGATGGTTTTATTTTATTTACTTTAAGTCTTTATCCAGTTCTTAACTAGGACCTCATAACTGTTCTATAGGACCTCCAGTCCTTCCTAACATGGCCACCAAGGTGAACTTTCCACACGAAACCGGTCATGTCCCTATTCTGCTTATGTCACTGTTCTAAGTCATTTTATTTTGGAAAAGAATCCACCAACTCCCATTTGCTGTGTACATTTCCACACAAAACCCACTTTAGGCTGATTTGTCCTTAGTTTGGTGCATGGTGATACAAATGGCTAGTCACACATAAGTTAGTATCATTTGTACAAGTCAGGTGACAAAAGTAAGTAAGAGTTGCTAAAAATAGGAGCACAGGAGTTATTTTGAAAAAAATATGTTGTGTATGGGGTTTTTAATTTATGCTAAGAACTGGATAATGGCTGAAAGTAAATAAAATTCTCAACTCAGTATTTATATACTTTTTAAAAGCTAGCAATAAAGCATGGTGGTGTTTTTCATGTAATTCTAGTATTTTTAAAAAGGGAGCAATAAAATAATCATAGGGTAGTTTGGCTAATTTGTCCTCTGTAGTCATACATGGATAATATTTAAAGAAAAAACTAAACACAATCCTTAAATAGGAACAGCTAGATTTTAAGTGCTAAAGAACATACTCCTGAAACATAAATACAAGACTACATAGAAAAGTTTTATAAGATTAGTTCAGTGTATGCATTGATAATAAACTTGAGAACTGTGGTTAAATATCAACATTGGTAAACTAGCCTATCTACACTAATAAAAGACAAACATGCAAATTGACCATACCTTCACTATGCCTAAGCCACGCCCACCAGTCAATCAGAGCGACTATATGCAAATTAACCCAACCAAGATGGCAGCCAGCAGCCACGGAGCTGGAGCGAGCAGGAGGCTTGGTTGCCCCAATGATGGAGGAAGCCAATTTCCTGCCTGCCGCAGCTGGCTCTGAGCTCCACTCAAAGCAACAAAGTTTCAACTATAGAAGGTAAATAAACCCCAGATACCTGCTTTCAGCTGGCTGAGGTCATGGAGCTGGAGC